TTCTTTTTCTTTTCTAGGACAAAGCTGAACTATAACCCTCCAAAGGACGATGGATCAACTTACAAGATTGAACTTGAAGGGATATCAGTCGAAATAATGAAAGAGATACTAGATTACATCTTCAGTGGGCAGGTATGGCATTAAATAGAATTACTGCATGCCTATCTTTAAATCTGCAACGCTAGTTAAAGACGGCCTGCTTTTTGTGTTCTGTTGCTGTTGCAAAAGGCGCAGACTTAAGTCATATGTTGTTAAGAGTTTGCTATAAAACTGCTTCTGTAAAGCAATGTAGGCTATAGGTATGAACCAAAAAGTAAGCAAGTCTTACGAGTTTCTATTGATCTTCTTAGTCTTGTGCTCCCAGGCAAAAAAAAAATTGAATAATGTTAAACCTTTTTAAACACCACCAGTCTTTCCACTGAGCTGGTTTAAACCAAGTTTATTAGTAGCTGTGAAAGGTGTCTGGACTGGCTGCCTAGAGATAGCAGATGATCACAGAACACATACCTTGGGGTTGTTCAAGTACTCCTTCACTGTCTTGCCAATAACTTTGATCTGTTATGGGTTCCATGGTTGTTTAGTTTTCATGTCCATTCAATCCTTGCTAGTCCCTGGTAAGGCTGCCAACTAAGCACAAATTTTAAATTGATTTTTGTGCTATCCTTTGGGAACCAGACTAAGAATTGTCAAATAAAACAGGCCCCCCCAAACAAGTATTGGCTAGTATCAGATCTGGTTGGACAGCAACTCATTTAAAAAATAGTTTTTTTTTAAAGTAGAAATCCTGCAGATTTGGCTGTAAAAGCCCTTTCCTTGGTATGCACCCTGGATTTAACAGCAGGGTACGGTTTGACTTCTCGGATCAGTTCATCAAGTTTGTGGTCAACACCTCCATACAGCAGACCCCCCTGCTTGTTTTCAGCTAATCTACTTAACCTCTGGTAACTTTACATTTTGAGAAGCACTGTTAAGAACTTAGACATCTCATGCAGCAGATGTGTGACTTACAGCTGTAATTTTCACCCTGACTCTTCCAGATCAGGCTACATGAAGAAACTATCCAAGATGTTGTGCAGGCAGCTGATCTTCTGTTGCTTACAGATCTTAAAACTCTCTGCTGTGAGTTTTTAGAAAGTTGTATAGCTGCTGAGAACTGTATTGGTATTCGGGACTTTGCACTGCATTATTGTTTGCATCATGTTCACTACCTTGCCTCGGAGTATCTGGAAACTCACTTCCGAGATGTCAGCAGCACAGAGGAATTCCTGGAACTGAGTCCTCAAAAACTGAAAGAAGTGCTTTCTCTGGAGAAGCTGAATGTTGGAAATGAAAGATATGTGTTTGAAGCGGTGCTTAGATGGATTTCCCATGATTCAGAATTAAGAAAGGTCAGAGTACTCCTGAGTTTTACTTTGTGATTTTTGGCTCAAGTTCTGCCATTATATTCCAGTTGGGTATTTCTGAACTGTGTCGCTACCAGTGCCAGAGCACTGCAGGATGAAACATATGCTATGTTATTGGGTTTCATGCTATATTAAATTGTATGCGGTGTAATGTGGTGTGTAGGTTGGTGGTATTAAGACAGAATAGGACTCGGTTATTGGTGGTAGAGTCATTAAAGCCTCTCCTCTGTTGCAGACATAAGCAGCAAATGGAATAGCTTGATATTTATATCCAAAAGTTAGATGCACGAGTCTAGGTGTGGGAGAGTGATTAGTTGATTAGACTTGGAGCCTTAAGCTGTGGCTTCCAATCTTACTTTCAAACTAAAATTCTGTTATCTACTTAATATGCAAAATGCTTTATGTTCCTTTTATATACAGAAACTACTGCACTTACTTTAGAACATAGCTGCAAAGAATTTATCATGAACAGTGTCATTTTGTACAGTGTTTCAGAATTTTTTTTCTGTTTTGCTGGCTCTCTAGGTTCACATGAAGGATGTTATGTCCGCAGTATGGGTTTCAGGATTAGACGCAACCTATTTGCGTGAGCAGATGATGAGCGAACCACTCGTTCGGGAGGTCGTCAAAGAATGTAACAACATTCCACTTACCCCCCCACAGCAGGGTGAGGCATTGCTGGCTTCTTTCAAACCCAGAGGTTACTCTGAGTGTATAGTTACCGTTGGTGGTGAAGAAAGAG